GTGATTCCCGCCCCATTCAAACCATCCTGCTTGAATCCCGCAAACTACATTTGATTTTATGCAGGTTCTATATTGTATACCATCGAACTACCGTGCCTGCGTGAATCACGCCTAAAAACGCCTGGAGTGTATGGAGTGCACGGAGTGTACCGTCGGGATTCCCGCAGGAGTGCGAATAGCCACGGCCTTTATTAAATCCAAGGAAAATAGCGGATTAATCTAGAATTGTAGCCTTATGGCACATCAACGACACACGCACCGCACACTGATCAATTCAACGATTTATTTATTCATTAATTCAACGATTCTAAGTATTGTTTAATTCGTTTGAACCTGTTAATCAACCGTTAATTACTCAACAAACGTCTGTACATATTTGTATATGTTCGACAAGTGACTATTAAACGCGAAGTGTTTTATAATTCTGCTTTCAACGACATTTAACTTTATTCGCAACCCATACTTTCATTTTCCGACGCACGACCACGCAAAATCAACGTCCCTCATCAAACAATATCTGATGGAAAAATGCCGTACGGCCCATCGTTTTTTTTATAACATTTAAAAACGATCAAACTGTTTGTTGCTGATATTAAATAAACCATTGGGCTTATGGGATTTTTCCATGAGAGTATTTTAAAGGCAAATTCAATTTGCAACAAATAATAATCAATGGAAAATCCCAAAAACCCAATTGTTTTAAAGATAACTGCAAAAACAGTCTCGCCACTGGGAATTTTCGGGAAAAACGTGGCCAATCCCCTTGCCATTTATCGGATAATATTTAATTATTAACTATCTCATCAACCGAGACTTTGACAAAATTTTATAAGGACAACTTTTTTTTGTTAAATCTCATTAACAACAAAAAAGATTCTCCGATAAATTTTGCTAGTTCTCATGGTTGACGAGATAATTAATAATTCAACAATTGTCTCAAAAATGGACAGAGCGATCGCTGTGATTTTTAGATTTTTAGTTATAAACGCCCTCTTCATCAATTATCTAATAGACAACGGGCTTTCGGAGATATCTCCATTGATTATTTTTTGTCGCAAATCGAATTTGCAACAAAAAATATCTGATGGAAAAATGCCGTATGGCCCATCGTTTTTTTTTATAACATTGAAAAACGATCAAACTGTTCGTTGCTGATATTAAATAAACCATTAGACTTATGGGATTTTTCCATGAGATCATTTTGTTGCAAATTCAATTTGCAATTAATAATAATCAATGGAAAAATCCCAAGAACCCAATTGTTTAAGAGATAACAGCAAAAACATTGCCGCGGAGTGATGCGAGAGAGTGAGAGAGAATACCATGCCTTCTCTCTGACGCTCACGGGTGAACGTGGAACTTGATCCCGCCTCCTTCTGGCTCGAAGGGGAATCACTCACACTCGAGCGCGACAGCCACACCGACGTATTGCCGCTTAACGGGGCAGCTGCATTGGCTGTCCTGTTTACCCCAGTATCTCCGGAGGGGTGCTTCCGATTCAAAAGTGGTAAACGACTTTTTGGTTCAGACTCACCCCCTGTACATGCCGGTTCATTTTCGGCACGTAATTCTGGGACACCCTGTATATATACGCAAACTACATGAACCTTGCAAACATCAAAATCAAAATAGGAATCAATCAATTAAGATTTACGCTACGATCGAAAAATGAAAACAAACACTGTCGACTGCTTGAATGACGAATAACCCAAACATGAGTATAACACGATATCACACTATCTAGTGGGACCCTGCTCTTTCTATGTCCTTCATGAAATATTAGGAAATATATCGATTATTTCGGATGTAATTTCGCGATTTCAAAAGGCGGTGTAATAATTTTGATTGCCAACCATTAAATAAACAAATTCATTAAAGATAATGATTTTTCTACATTTCGATGAATACTAAATCTGATCTACCTCTTTTCGTCGTAATTAGGCGGATGTGTGATATAATTTAACGGAAGGGATGCCGTATACAAAAATCTTTATTTCGTCGCTCAAAGATAAAGTCGAAAACGTCAATAGATATCAACCATTTTATCTTAAATGTTACAAGAGTTATCAATTTTTATTAATTATGTGCAAGTGATCCATCCACTTATTGAAACCTCATTGAGAGTTCCATTACAGTAGCTTACGTGATTAACCGTAATGACTCCATTATTATACTATCGCCGAGTCAGCACCAATATTGCTGCCAACTTCGACTCAATAACCAGTCAAATGTTGACGACTCAAGTAAAGAAACTGGAAAGCAAACGAGCGACAAACTTCAAGATCTGACGTTTGAGATTGAGGCCGATAAAAGTGAAACCCGTCCTACAACCGACTAGAAAAAATCTGATCAATTCTCTCAGCAACTGTTCGAAGGAAACGATAGGGGAGTTCAGGAATTCTTGGACAAAAATGTTCTGGCAAAAGAACTAGAAATGAGAAATTTTTACTTTGGCCAAGCGGTAAAAGTCCAAGATCCTCATTAATACTGCTTTTGCCGCAGACAACAGGTGACGGTCCAGGAGCCGTCAAGACTGAGATGACCAATCTTCCACCTAAATGAAAGCTGATAAACATCTCAATCTCAAAATCAACTTTTAGCTCTGAAAATAGTTGCGAGTTTAAAGTAGTGCCCAGATGCCCTCTGATGTCAACTCTCAACTCTGGAAACAGTAAATCAGTAATAATAACATTAAATAATATAAAAAAAAATAGTTATAATAAAGACGGAGTTCAGAGTACGTATGCAACCCCTGCAAGCCAACTATAAATTCTGAAAAAAGTCCCCAGTGCAGAGCAGACCTTCTTCTCGTCCAAAGTCAACTCTTGACTCTGAAAATAATCGAGGATACAGAGGGTTGTTTTGTCCCTGACAAAAAATTAGCTATTTTGGAAATCATTCATAGTTTAGGTGTCTATGTTTTACCCTCATATATTGATCGTTAAACCCCCAGGAACGTTACGGGTTCAGGGGAACGCCCCGTGTGCCACAAACTCTTACCCAGCAGCTAGCAGCCCGTAAGAGCACAATTCTTCACTGGATCCGCCGCGATTGTGTCCAACCCTCGATCTAAGACTATGCCACTGTTTGCTTGTCTATGTATTCATTCTACACAATTTTATTTTCCATCTTCTCAAAGTTTGAACCAAATCGATGTTGTAGTAGGAGGCCACCGATCGATTTGAACAATATCATAGTTTTTTGCATCCTGCCGGATAGAATACCTTCTCAACGATCGTCAAGGTTTGATCTATAAAATAATGTCGCCGAAAATGATTAGCATTATTAATACATATTATATTACTATTGTTCGCGTTTACCGTCCGGAAAAAGAAAAGGCAGGAAAAAAATATTGGGTTGAATTGTCTATAATTCACCAACAAGAGACAATGGAGCCAGGCATCAATTTACGAATGTTTCATGATCAAAGGTCTCGATGCAGGTGCATTTGCATGAATTAGTGAATAATATCTATACCTCCCGAGTAGAGTTCATAAACTGCAACAAAAAATTAAGCATAGTTGGAAGTTCGCTCCCCTCTCAGCCGTTAAGCACTTGAATAAATTGAAAAAGCTCACGTTATGATATTGTTTTGCCTTACGATCAGTTTTACGATGGCTCGCCTCAAAGAACAAACTTATGACGAGGCAGTATCATTGATACGCTCATATCTATCTATCTTCGGTCTATGGATATATCCAAACAGTTCATTATTCCGAAAAAGATGTTCACACATTCCAATCTGCTTCATTAATTGTTGTTTGTGTATTTGTGTAATAATTCCGGAGATGTGGGCTCTGTATAGAATCCGTAAAGACATGGAACTTGTTATTGGCAACCTTATGGTATCACTGACATTTTACCTATCAATTATCAAAACATTTTTCTTATTGTTCAAACGAGAAGGTGAGTCCATATTTTGATTGTTCATTAAAACTCAGTTGAATGTAGCTGATTGTATTAATTTCGTGATGATTTTCAATTATTTCCTGAGTGAAGCTTTGAGAATATTCTTCAAGAAGATTGAAGAAGATTGGAAGGCTCGTATGACTCGAAAAGAACAAAACATGTTGGTTAAACGATGGAAACTAATAAAACTCATTTCCATTTCTGCTTTCGTGATTGCAGTTACTTTGTCATTAGCTCATAATTCTACGGTGTACTTCAATTTTGTTGTGCGAGTTCTAACAAATCTTACAGATACAATTCCTGGAAGACCCTTAGTATTTTCCAGTGTATATCCATTTGATACTCAGCCATCCCCTCGGTACGAGGTTTTGGTATTTATTGAGCAACTGGAAGGTATAGTTGCATGCATTACGGCGATCATTCCCGATGTTTTGTATGCTGCATTTGTTTTCCATGCTTGTGGTCAATTGGAGATTCTGTCCAGTAGAATCGAAAAAATCGGTGAAAATACATCGGAAAATTTCAATCAGTTCTTGAAATCATCGGTGACTCATCATCTTCGAATAATCAAGTATCTATGGGATGAATACATTCACGTCACATGAATTATGGAATTCATTGAAAAAAATACCAAAGAATTTTAATAATTCGTCTTTTTAGATTTGTAGAGAACATAGACAATTTATTCAATGGCTTCATATTAGGACTCATACTCTACTTTACCCTAGTGTTTTGTTCACAAGCATTCATGGCAATGACAGTGACAGGTCGGAGTGGCAATAAGGATGAAATGATGCTGAAATTGGTATTTTTCGCATGTTACACCAGTTACCTGATGTTTCTTACTTTTCTATATTGCTGGGCCAGTGAAACTCTTTCAGCAAAAGTAAGTATGACCATATGAAATTTCAGTACAGATTATGTTCACCAGCTGGTATCGATATGGAGAGTGCCGATCTTCTCAATGCAGCTTACAATTGCAATTGGATTGATCTTCCACCTAATAAAGCAATTTCACTTTGTATGATCTGTCTTCGGTCACAGAAGCCTCTTGGAATTACTGCGGGAAAATTTCTACCTGTAACTCTAAATACATATGCAAAGGTAAACGAATGAAATTTGGAATTTTATTCACTTGTAGAGTACTTTATAATCTCTTTATAATTATGAATGTCACTCTAATCCACAGCTCTTAAAAACATGTGGTGGCTACGTGTCTATGTTGCTTGCTGTACATAGTTGATTTCAATTCTACACTCGAAATAGAAAACGTTAATCGACTAGATTGTAAACTGGTTGAATTTATATATAATTGAACGATACCAAACCTTAATTTTTTCCATGATTTTACCGCTGACTCCGGGAGTGAAGAGCTGGAAGGAAGGCTAATCACTCATTATTATAGTACATTATTCTAGCTAATATCAGTAACCTCCCGTTACGACTGCATTACATTCCCTTTTCCAACGATTCGTACATTCATGTGAGGGGCAGCGGGTCCGACAAAAGATCAAAACCGATTCCATGCACTGTACACTTTCTCTTTTACTTTCTTTTATTTTT